AATGGACAGACGGTAGAACGGACGGACACGCGGACGGACGCATGGATGGACGGAAGCCAGAATGAATGGGCGAACGAAAACGCGGACGGACTGACGAACGCTTCGCCCCACCAATCATCATCCACTCCGTGGATATGCTGCAATTTTTTTTTTGCTTCACACAACGGCATTAGAACATTGGAGGTGATTTATAATAAACAACCAGTAGATTTCTGTTGTTAATCATTGTTGCCATTGCGTGGCCAACTATCATTAAAGAGACGCCATATAAGAAAACAAAGCCAAAGTTCCTTGAGCGCTTTAGTGATCAAAGTGACGCTGGAAGCAGGACCTTCATGTCCCAAAAAAGGTCGATGCGCAGAAGACGCGTGACTGCATTTTGCATATTCAATGGCGTCCGTGAATCCGGGGTCATCATCAGGGATCGAAAAGATCGAAAAATGCATGCGACCAAGGCCAAGCATGACGTAGATTGCGACCTCCACGTGCATTCATGTGGTTAAGGTTTGCAGGCTAGATCTGTTTCTCCGCCAAGTTTAACGCTGTCGATTGTAAATGTGATTCAAGAAATTGAACAGTCCTTTCAGGATCACAACGCGCATGCTCGTTTGAATCTAGACTGCGGCAATTCCAGACCGTCTTGCGGAGACTAAGTGGTTTTGAATAAGGAAAAGAGGAGAAAAGTGCCATGCTATAACTGTCTCTCGCGCATAGGAGGATCCCTGAACCGCATGACCAAGGGGATGGAGTTATGGGAATAAAAGACACAGGAGGGATAGAAGTACGAGAACAGAAAAAAAAGATTAAGTGGGAGTCATCCGGTCCGCCTCTGATTCACGCGCCCGAAACACCGATAATAAGTTGTTTTTTTTCAAGTCACTTTTATAGAATTTCTTGGTCGCTTGTGGCGTTTCTCGGGTTCATTTGTGTTTTACCTGCAGATACCCTAATTTTAGTGATGATCCCGTTCAGCAATGGTGTTTGTCGTTCACTGATAGCATGTGTCGATGACCGAGTACTTGAGCGTTGGAGTCAAGCACATAGTATCAAGAAGCTAATGTTAATTATACATGTGCTTTCGTTCATAGCAGCGCTTATTCTCACTGTATACAAAATAATTAGTGATTTTTTTTTCAGCTCCCGTTCGTATGTAAGCGATTTTCATATTCTATTTCGAAGTATTTTATATGCGAAACATTTATTAGCGAACTTCGGCGACTTCGAGCGTATCCATCCATCCGTCCATCTATCTATTTATCCATCTATCCATCTATCTAGCCGCTTACGTTTGTGTGGTCTCTTGGCGTGAACTAAAATTAGCATGGGAGCGTAAGATGGTTTGACGAATATGACGCGCTTGTCAATACATAAATACTATCACCATCGCGTCGCGTACGTCGTCAAACACTTCCCACCGAACAGTGGCACATACCCAGGGGTGGGTATGTGCCGCTGGTATGTGCCACGGGTGGTTGACACTTAGTATCTACCCGGGAACGACGAGAACACACATGGGCAATTTTAACGTGCGAGTTTAATATATATCCGATATCGGTAGCGTCAACCCGACCACTGCAAAAAATAAATTTCAGGGCCCCAGCTGGAATCGAACCCAAGCACCCTGCGTGGCAATGAAGAATTTTACCACAGAGCTACACCAGGTCTCGGAACTACTTTTCCAATAACCGTTAATCTTTGTAAAACGTCGAGCACTGTCCAGTGCCAGTATCCTCGCGAGCATCAGCTCTTCATATCAGCTTCTGGTGTTGCTAATACGCATTGCGCAAGTGCGAACTACTTGATATATAAAAATCTACAACTATTCAACATATGTCTATGCGTGCAACAATTGTACATATTTTTAGCTTCATTTCATAACCTGTCGCTCAATAAAAAATTGCAACACGACCCCTTTCTCTCCGCATGCTTCGCATAACTGATTCCCAGGTACGTGGGATCTGCCCATTTTTTTTTTAAGAATAGAAAAATTCAATTAATTTTTTTGCTTCTAATCTTCTTCGCAAAAATTGTGCCACCTTTTTGGGGCTGCCCCTTACATGTTGACCTAATAGGGATGAAGGGGTACAAAGTCTGTCCCATACAGGTACGTATTACGGAGAAGGGACTACGAAACTTCGCCCGGTCTGAAGAGGAAACCTGTGCACGCGTATGTCGAGCAGAACGTACAGGGCCTGGACTTGAGCCACTCGTTTCAACCAGCCGGTCTGAGGACTTCCAAGTTCCGCGATACAAGGAGCATCACTTTTGCCGCGAAATTGAGGTCACTACAAGCTACAAAACGACACTTAACTTTCCTGGCAAAAAAAAAAAAATCATTTTTTCCCTAATGGAGTCAGAGACATAACATATAGGAAGTTTCATAATATTTTTTTTTTCGGGCCAACGTTGCATATGACGTTCGGTAACGTTACATTATATTCAAGTGCTGGTGATTACGAATTCAAGAGCAAAAATTGAACCTTCATTTTCTTGCGTAGGAATGAAATTATACAAAAGCTTACGACGATAGCATTCTGAAAGGTTGATTTATGAATTTAGAATGAATTAGATGATTCACAACACTTTCTTGTCTGCTCGATATTAAAGTGTACGTAATACGTCAATGCACTGGAATACACAACATGATAAACTTCAAGTTTATCAGTTTATACACAAAGGATCCATCTGCATTTTCTCAGATATTTTCGGTAACTTTTCGACTCGCAATGCCCGGCACACTTTGACAAGAAAATGCAGAGCCACTAAAACTGGAGAAAAACAAAACTCTTCACTTGTGCTTGGCGTCGCGCCTAAACCTTTTTGAACACATATAACTCATTCACCGTCTTCTCGCGGGAGGTGGGCGGCAAGCCACGCAAGCAGCACAAACGCGTTGTTGGGGTGTCGCAAATACCGGTTAGAATGTATATCGAGGCCACCGCCGTATGTAATCTAGGCGCACGTTCAATTAAAAAAGTAATGGTAGGCGTGTGATATCAGGCTCCGCCGTATTCCTCAAGGACAACGTTCATTCACCGCAGATTGCGCCAAAGACGAATTTTACATAAATTATCCTCTGTAAAACTAAAGCAAAACTTAACGCGTCCAATCAGCGTGGAAACATCTCAACCAGGTAATTGAAGTTTGTATGTACCCTTTTTTTCTACATGTTTATTAATCTTTTGACGAGGTGTTTGCGCTTGACGTCAAAATAACGGAAATTTCGGGTCTTAGAGGTAACTGAGCTAACAAAGGTTCACCTAATTCAATCCCTACCCCTTGGAAATTTTCAGTACTGCATGTGTATACATACACGCATTCGCAAAACACACACACGAACATAGCCGAATGCATGATGAAGTGCCTCACTCCTCGCCCCTCCCACCCGATTCCTGGCCACAACATTCGGGCCAAACCTCTGGGCGGCAAAGAAAACCACCAAAACCAATGCCGACTGTACCAGCAGCACTGGTAACGAAAGCAGCGCCATCTAGTAGCAAACTTGCACACCATCGGCGCGCGCGAGAAAAGATCAAGCAGAGAGCGATTGCGGAGGCTGCGTGACTGGGTGAATGGAGGTCACAACTTTGAAATCAAACTTCGTTGGTTTCGCTCGCCAAGCGTCGTCGATCGAGCGGCATCTCGACGACGCGAGGCGAGCGCACGGCCGGTAAATCGTGTTGTCAACGCTCGCATTTCTCGCTCAAGCGCGTTTCCTGAGTGATCGTATCGGGCGAAAGCTTTTCCGGAGTAATGTGGGTGTTCGTGGGATCAAAATTGTGGTCTTATTTGGATGGAGAGGTGTGCGTTGGCTGTATTCCTGTCGGTAAGGACTAATCGCACGAATAACTCCAAGTTTACGCTATCTTTCGGAGGGTCTATTGATCCCTTTGTAGTAGAGGAGCTGCGAAAACTTTGGTATGTCTAAGTGCGCTAAACGCGCGGTTGGGCGCTCTCTTGTGCATCTTGTGTCGTGTTTTTGTTTTGTCGGTGTGAAATGTGCGCGATCGTGTTGTGGTACGCCCGTGATTTTGTGTGCAGGCTGGTTTTGTTTTGGTGTGACCGCAGGATGACAGAGACGGAAGAGAGGAGAAGGAAGGAGTCGGTTCACTTTTCAACGAGTTGGGTATGTACGAGATCCATGTGTGTCGCTGCGATGCTTGACGTATTCTATGTTGAGAATCTTCAGCCGACCACTGAAATACACATCTGTTCTAAAACACGATTGTGGCTTACAAACTTTTGAGGCTGGCTGAGCACTTCATATTCATACATCACAATTCATGTACCCTCATACGTACTTCACAGTTCTAAATTAATAGAAACTGTTTCATAAGGGATCTAAGTTGTGTTCTCAATTTGGTTTACTGATGTTTTTGCTACGTTATAGCAGGCTTGTAGGCATTGTATCATGTGCAGATACTTTGTTTTCTTCGTTAGCTCTAGCATCCTATGAGGTAACGTTTTTCTCCACGAAATGAAGTGTCACTTCAGAGTAAACGTTTCAAATAAGATAACTTGGGGGACCTTGTCGATGAGAAAAAATGCTGATGTATATACATACGTAGTTATAGAAAGTGCAGTGAGCTACTTGCCTTTCCTTGCGTTGATTTAAACTTATTAAATTCCATTTCTTAGTTCTGCCTATTCCTGAACACATTTAACTGCATTGTAATATGTGTGTAATACTTGTGTAAATGGTGGCACAATGAACTGGCATGCAATCATTTAATAGCGAGGCATAACATCCAAATTTACATGTGCACACATAGACATTTATGCATGCACGAGCTTGCATTTTAAGGAGCTGTATATTATATTTAGTTGGTGTCGGTGGTTCTCAGAAAAATATATTCAGAAAGGTAATGCCCCATATTAGAGAGGGCTGCAGTGCAGATCATTATCACGTTTGATTATATGTAGAGACAGCTCCTTGTCAAAATTTTAAAGGCTACGTTGTTTACATTAATTGCAGATGTAAAATGTTCAGGAGTGCCAATATGAACCTGGGCGCCGCTCTGTTGCCGGGATGCCAGGCCATCCTGTGCTTCATCAACATTGTCCTGCAGCTCGTCTCCCTACCTCCATCATATTGGGGAACCTTCATCGCGAAGACCGATCAAGGTTAGTTGTTATGGTCACCATAATTTTTGTCTTTCTAATATTTCAACATCTTGCTATATAGGTTAGCATGATACACTTCTTTATTTTTTTCTTCTGTGTTGCTACCCCTGCCACACTTGAAAACATTGCTCATGCATGGTTGATAACAGAATACAGTGTAAAACTTCCAGGATTGATGTTTCTGTATCAATTTTTGGCAGTTTTGCATCCCAAAACTACGATCTTATATGACGTATGCCGTAGTGGACGGCTTCGAAGGGTTTGACTACCTTGGGCTATTTAACGTGCACCTATATCCAAGTACACGGGCAACTAGCGTGTCGCCATCATCAAAATGTGGCTGACACAGCTGGGGTTTCAACCTGCCACCTTCGTGTCAGCAGTCAAGTATCGCAACAACTAGTTCATCGTGGCTAGTTGTACGACTGATTTTTTTAAGTAAGCAGCACCAGAGAGGTTTAATCTTTGTGAAATAGTTGAAAATAACTTTCAAAACAGGTCACAGAGACTTGGAAAGTGTCCTAATGAGTAACCCCAATTATTCATCACTAACATTTGTTTTCATTGCTACACTAGTCACGAATTTCTCTGACTTCATAGGCTAGACTTCTCATAATGGCCAAGTTAGTCCAACAACTTTTACGGATCCCTTACAAATAATCTACCATCAGAAACTTACATGGGTCCTAATATCTTTCTAAAGTTGGCATACTATCTTTCATATTAAAAAACATGGTTAATTGATTTGCCTTGGACGCCTATATTTACAGCATTCAATGTGTCCAAATCAGGTAAATGTAATTTCTTTTTCCACTTGTGGACCTAGAACTTGTCTCTTGTCACTGATGAATTCGTTTGGCCTGTTGTTGCATTTGCATACATTGAGGCCCTGTGTAGCCGATTACAGCTGTTATTTTTTTTCTCGTTTCAATTTGGAGTGAAAATGAAATTCTTTAAGTTATGAAATGAAAGGCACTAATTTGGACATATATACCTGAAGGCATGGGATCATCTAAAACCATTTGTCCTGTCGTGTTTGTCAGTGTATGTCCCAATAGACAGATTTAGAATAGCATTAGCAGATGTAGCGGGTGCCATACCAGTGTTAGACCCCAATGCGTGATCGTAGCTACACCATAGCCTCGACACTAGCGCCTTGTGGGTGGCATGGGCTGCACGCTATTTCGAATTTTCTGCGGGCGGACTGCAAGTGCTAAGCACAGCTCGCGTTACTACGCATGCACAGTGGCAGCAACCACACCGCAAGGGCTTGCGGTGTGGTGTTACCACATGTTGCTAAATAACCGTGGCACAATAACTACTTTTTTACGATCGGCATTGAGGCTTTAGTGGTTCTTGCTTAGGACTGTGCAGTTCTCACGAAAAAGACAAGGGACAGAAATGCACACAGCATCTTCTGTCCCTTGTCCTTTCTTTTGAACACTGTACAGTCCTAAGCATGAATCTATACAAACTCGCTGAATTTTATATCCTAATTCAGTGGTGCTGGAGAATGATATAAATTTTTTCGAATATATACTCTAAGTGCCATTCAGAAACGACTCATATATGAGACATGAAAAAAGCATTTTTTTTTTCAAGTGGCAATTTTTTCCATTGTCGCAGGCCTATTGAAGGACTACATTTAGTAGCACTGAGGCCTGCTGGTTGAGGCGATTTTGAAACTCCTGCTCTATAGTGTTGCACTTGATGTATGAAACAGATTGCAGTTGAACAACAAGTGTTGCTTCTTACGCTTTGCTGCACTATCCCCCTGTCCTCACTGCCGCAGGAGCCATTCTCGAGCGCGGGCACTTTGGGCTGTGGTTCGTCTGCAGCGAGCATGTGCCATTTTTCTTTGAGGACTGTGAGGCTCCCATCACGTACCTGAGGCTGACTGGACTAAGCACGGCCGCGGGAGCGCTGGCCATCGTCCACTTGCTCGTACTGTTCGGGGCACTTCCACTCATCGTCATACGCGTGGTCCAATCCATTCGGAACATCGAAGATGGGTGCCTCGACATCCGGTTTCTGTGCTTGGCCAAGACTACTGTTACCGTCATTGCACGTGAGTCTTGAAGCCTATTGATTTTGAGTACAGCAGTTTATTTTAAATCCTTTCTCAACCGTAGACCTCATCTGGGCAGATGCTGCTAATTGGTTGACATACCGCTCTTCTTTGGTCAAGTTCTACAAAAGCTTAAAGTTAACATGACATTGTGGTACGTTGAAGTCACACGAGTTCGGGCATGTTGGTATTCCATTTCACCACCTTGTGCAGAAACTCCAGGAGCCAGCCCCAGTACTCACTATGTTACATTGCATCATCAAGGACTAAATGTTTGGTTTGAAGAACCCTTGTTACTACCAATCCGCTGGTTTTTACTATTTATGTGCGCACCGCTATATCTCAGTCTCGTTCTGAAACTAGTGCAAATATAAACATTCCCCAGCCCTCGCCGGGAATAGCAACGTCCGTTGCACCAGTCTCCAGGAAGTACGATGGGCTCCGGAGAGTCACAGACACAGGCGACACCAGTGTCTACTGGCTCAGCAGTGAAGACTGGTCTAATGAGGACTTCCTTTCAACTCATACAAAGCCCTAAGGTGAAAAGCCAGAACACCAGGTTCTTTCTGCTAGTGCCTAAGTATAGGCCTGCAGAACCTGTAAATAAATAAATAAATAAATAAATAAATAAATGTCATGATATCTACTCGAAAGACCGCAATCCGTACAATTATTTTTGTACCAGAGCTTGCTGCCGGTAACTTGAGGCGACTCAACAGAAAATAACTCTCCATGCTTCTTGTGGCGGCAGTGCGAAATGAAATAAGGGCCGTGAGAGTTAACTCACACAAAAGTGTTTTTGTAATCGACGTTGCACATGAAACTGCATTGAGCACATCGAGTCAAATTACGGAATTTCATGGAATGAAGATTCACTTGTACATCCCATTGAGCAGTGGTACTACTACTGGTTTCATCTATGATGTCGATCGACATCTCTGTTTCAAACACAAACTTGACCAGTTTTGTGAAGCCAGTGGTCGATGGCATTGATATCATACATATGGCTCGCATGGGCACATATTTCTATATAAAATTAACATTCAAGGATGAATCTCTGCCCTCACATGTGATGGTAGGCCCCATTCGGCATCCTGTACGATCGTTCATCCCAAGGCTTCATCAATGCCACAAATGTTTTTAGGTTCGGACACGTGAACGCCGTGTGTCAGAGCACGATGATTTGCTCGCGCTACGCCGAACCACGCGCTGCAGACTCTTGAGTCGCCACGGTACTCAAGTGCTGCCATTGCCTCAGGTCCCACGATGCTTTGACAAATAACTGCCCCAAGATTACAATAACAAAAGGAAATTCTTAAGCAGATGGTGCGAGACCGGTCATCTCGTTGGGAAGCTGTTGCTGTCAGAATGTGGCGCTCCCTACACCGTAATGGTTCAAGGGAATGTGTGACACGTAGCTCACAGGTGACACAACATCCATTGCTTCCTAGACCTACTTGTCGCCATCAATTTCTGAGGACAGGACCACACCAAAGCACATGGACACTGATGTTTGGCTGGCATTAGCAAAGCTGCAGCTAGAGCCAGAATCACAACCACAATGAAAGCCAGTGTGCAATATACTGCAAATGGAACGGTCGCAGCAGACCAAGCCAACATTGACCGAATTGGTTCCCCTGGTTCCCCACGCTTTGCCTGAAAAATACCAGGACATCTCTGCAACACTAGGATCTCTCCTGGACACCATATTGATACTTTTGAATAAGCTAAGTACTCCGACAGTTCAAACTGTCATAAAACTATCGGAGGTTCTCAATCCAGTGTTTCCAGCGCTCCACTAGTCCCCACAGATCACCTACTACCATTTTCGAGACCGCAATTTCCCAGCCATGTCTGAATTCTGAAGCGACGTTGGTCAGAAAAGCTCCTCTCAGTGACTGACTGACTGTACTACTTGACTCTCCAGACGCTCGTGTACCAGACGCTCGTGTGGTCAAGTTCCCTGCCTTTCCTCTTTTTACTTCCTCTCTCTTGCATAATGAATGATCAGTGAGGAACTGACACAAGAAAAAGACTCACAGGTTCCCCTACACTTTTGCCTAAAGCCCTAACCATACATGTCTTACAATGTGCCTGCATGTGTCGACAGAACACGGCTTTTGCCGTTGAGTCATCTTAAGCCCCAACACATACACATTCCCACATGTCAGTGAGTGGCGTGTTGCCACACACTGAGATGTTGATTGATTGATATGTGGGGTTTAACGTCCCAAAACCACTGATGATTATGAGAGACGCTGTAGTGGAGGGCTCCGGAAATTTCGACCACCTGGGGTTCTTTAACGTGCACCCAAATCTGAGTACACGGGCCTACAACATTTCCGCCTCCAACACTGAGATGTTGTAACGCATATGTGTCATTGGGCTTAAGGTGGTTCAAAAGTGAATGCTGTGTTCTTGTTCTTCTCACTCAGTGTATTGATCTTTCCCTGGTTCGCTCCAAAAACTTCCTGCACTTATTGTGGTTTTGCACTGCTCCTGTGATAGGCTCACCTTTGACCGAACAACTATGTCACAGGATAATGTCATCAAGCTGTCTCATGGTGATGTCGTGCAGATGCCGCAAGTTTTGATGATCTGTGACATGTCATGATGACATAACACAGTGATGTCACCAGGTGATGATATTTTGCATCACTGATATTCATGCGAATGCAGTGAGAGAAAGGCAAATGCTGATGATCAATTTCCAGGTTTGATGTGGCATCAAAGGCTTTCACGTTAATGCTAATACAAGCGGTGATTATCACTAGATTGGGGACATGTGCGTATGTTCACCATCAGTCAACTTAAAAAAAAAAGATAAGTTAGCTTAATGACAAGTCATGAGTGATTTGGCAAAAAGAGCAATAAAAATCATTGCCTAGTAGTATACTTTTATCTAGCTTTTACTTTGTACAGTTCATCATTGCATTGCTAATGTAGAATTGGCAAATGCAGTCATCAAACCCTCATATAAAGAAGTGTGTGAATATTTGACTTTGGAATAAATTACGACTTGTGCTTGCTATTCGGTTCGATTTGCACTGAAATTTGACTATTCGAAGTAGACAAACTTCTGACGATAAATACAGTCTTTGACAGAGGCCCCTTTAGATTTTCATTGTGCCTTACCCCATCACGCTGTGGCTTTGCGGCAAAGCTGCCTTTCAAACTGCTACGGTTGCAAATGTAATACTTAAAGAAGAAAGGCTAGTTCTAGCTTGAAGATGACGGACGCAGCAAAGGAAGGGGCTCACTTACTGCCATTTACAATCTTTTACAATCTTAAATTTCTGTAGAAAGTCCGTAAAATCAGGTATGCTGAAAATTTTCAATGTCTGAAACTTCAGGTGTTTTTATCATTGACGTTTGTGGGGCGAAGTAGGAACTGCGGACTCGAAGGGAATATGTCTGTCTGCCACATCAGTTCGGCCTCGACAGAAGTTGGAGGAGAGGAGGTTGAGGAAGTTGCATTTTTGTCTCTCGCATGTAAATTGTAGTCGATACCACTTTGAACATAATCGTGTAAATAAATACAACTCGGCCTCTGGATTGCCTCGTTCTGCAAAAAGTGCAGAACACCACCCCTCCAATGCTTCACCATTTAGCAGAAAAAAAAAAACCCTGTCATGTTGCAACCTAAAAATATCTTTGAGGGTCCTCTGAAATTTCTGTAATTCCACTTCAATGTATCAGAAGAATATTCCAGAATTATTCAATTCACTTCACATTCATACTTCAGTATTTAAATTTGCCTTGCACCCAAAAAACTGCTATTCACACGCCCGTTTTATATGTCAATGTGAGGGTATTAAAGTGAATATGTTAGGAGTTTTCCCGTGCCTTTGCGAGTTGTCACTTGATTCCAGTTTTGTGCGCTAGACGCTAAAACTGTGGTACCTGCTTGGTGGGAATGTAATTTCCCATATGCCGTCACCGCAACAGTTTGTTCCTTTCATTCCAGTGATCCTTGCGGTAGTCGTGGTGGTTCTCGGCAGCATGGGCACGGATCAGCCAGCCTACTATCAAGTGCAGCAAGGGTGGGCATTCTGGATTCAGGTAGGGTGCCATGCCAGCTTTCTCGACTTCTGCGCCAACAGTGCTGGTTGATTTTCTGTGCAGGAAAGCAGTTGAAAACCGTTTCAACGAAAGGCGATACAACCTTCCGCAATACACTCACGGTAGCATCTATTTTTTTTTTCATCAACCATCAATCCGATTTTTATTGACAAACCAAAGAAAAGATTACAAGATATCTGGACCGTTAGCCTACATTGGCTAGTGATCGGTCCATATCGGAGTACATAAAAGCAGCTTAGCAGAGCATATTTAGCAATAAACACATATATACACAATTATTTATACATATAACTATTCACATATGCACATACATACTACATACATAAGCGCGTGTACATATATGCATTTTCACAACATACCGAAATATAGTTTGTTTCATCATCATAATAAGTGACTGGGTAAAAGCACTAATTAGCGCAGGAGAAAGTGAGAAAAAAAAAGCCTATTTATATGTCTTGATGCTGCAAGCAAAATAATTTCACACTGTGCTTAAAATTTCTTGCCACTTTAACTTCTAAGGGTAGTCGGTTCCAAATTTTAGTCCCATGAAATTTCAATAAGTGTTTTCCATATAAGCTATAGCTTGTAGGTAACCTAGTTAATTCACCAACCTAGTTAATAACATTGATACCTATTAACACGAGAGTTTCATTTATTTAAAATACTTCAAGGATCCTGTACACAGGGTTTTACATGAGGAGTGAGAGAAAGAAACAAGATAGTTAATATTTACAAAGTGTGCCTCAACAGAGTTCTTGAAATGAGTATGGCTGATGTGAAGGGTGATGTCCGAGAAAAGATTGTTCCAGTCGATGGCAGTCTTGACAAAGAATGATTGCGAATGCTTGGCAGTAAGTAGTAATAATGCCTTATAACTGTAATAAAAAGCACTGTTCTCTTTAGCACTGGAGCTCGTTGTTTGAGTAGGAGTACTCTAAATTTTTGATATGCTTGTTTCTTTAATGTGCTACGAGAGAAAAACATACTCAGTATGATAGATTCGCAATAAAAACTAGCGAGAATTAAGCCTTCATTCTAAGGATTTCTAACCATTCTTGTAATCAACGAATTGTTCTTGTTAGGCAGTGCTCAGTTTTGACAATCGTAATTTAAAGAAACCCTTATGTTCCTTTTTATGCTGTTGTAGCGACGACTGCACTCACCGACAATCTTCCTGCTTGTGAGAGCATATTTCATGTTGTAGCAATGTTTATAAAATTCTCATAAGCTTAATGATCATCATTTATTTCTTTTGCTTTCTTTTACACTTTCAAGACGAGCATGTACAAATTACTCCTATACGATTGTTACATTTGTGAAACTCATGAGAAATTAAGAAGTGTGAAGACTTGGGCAGGTTGGTAGGACATAACTGAAAGTACGAACAGCGCACCTAGAAGTAGTTCCAGCATAACTACAGAAGTGAAAAAACAACGATAGAAAAAAGCGCTACTTTCTATCCTCGTTTTTTCGCTTCCGTAGTCACACTATAACTACTTCTAGGTTGCGCTGTTCGTACTTTCAGTCTATGAGAAGAATAAAATTTGTCAATCAAGTGCTTATATTCATCTTAGCAGATTTCTTCAAAGTGATGTATTGGATATGAATAGAAGCAAAGTAAGCAAGGTGTGCATCCTAGAACATATATGGCATGTGAAGCTATGTTATTGGCACTTCATAGTGGCTGATGTAGTTTAGTAAGCTCTGTTGCGACACAGTAGTGTCATACACTGAAGCTTACTGGTAGCAGAAGAAACACTCATTGTGCAGTGAAGTATACTACATTGGGTCTAATTCCTAGATTAGATTTGTGGGGTTCAACGTCCCGAAACCACCATATGATTATCAGAGACGCCGTAGTGGAGGGCTTCGGAAATTTTGACCACGTGGGGTTCTTTAACGTGCACCCAAATCTAAGTATACGGGCCTACAACATTTCCGCCTCCATCGGAAATGCAGCCGCCGCAGCCGGGATTTGAACCCGCGACCTGCGGGTCAGCAGCCGAGTACCTTAGCCACTAGACCACCGCGGCGGGGCTTGGGTCTAATTCCTTTCAGAGTCAATGTATGCGGCTTCGACCGCACGTCAGTGAACAGACAGTGTAATGAAACTGGAAGGTTGGCAGGGAGGAATAGAATCAACTGAGAGGAAATGGTGGTCACTGACCTGGCGGTTGGCTGATTTACTTTTGTCGTATGGACACCAGCTAGGCTGATTATGATTATAGTAAACTGGTTAAATAGTGTGCCTTTCCATTGCACTGTTTGACGTTAAGGCAAACTTTTCCTAACAGTTTTTTGACGCTTCTCAATTTTGAGCTATGCCGTCGACCTCTGGTTTCCTGGAGCCTCATGGGTCCATGAAAACATCCAGAAAATCGGGCAGTCCGAAAAAACAAGCGCCAGGGAAAACACATTTTTTAATAGGTATTTTTTGCGGATGCAGAGGGTCGCGCAGGGGGTCATGGTTCTCATTGCAATTCAACTAATGCATCGCTTAAGTGGCTCTATAATGAGCCAAAATAAAGAAAAAAACAAAAATCTATGTAGCCAGCACTACCACATTTGTATGTAAACTCTTAGGCGCAAAAAAAAAGTCACAGTCGACACCTCTTAAACGGAACTCGAAGGGGATCTATAAAACTGTTCCATTTATCAGAAGTTTCATTTAAGCAAAGTACACTTATTTAGTGAATCAAAAATTTTATTCAAATTGCACAAACCTCACCTTACTTATAAGGATGAGTAGGAGAAAAAAAAGGAGTGAAGGCTGGTTTGTTTGGCAAGCTTGAGTAGTTTTTTCACAAGGTACGCACCCATGCCTGACAAACTATCCAGAAATTCTGGACAAGCCTCGTGCTCAAAATAGCGCTGCAAATGTTCAACAGCCTCTTTAGCTGATCGGTCTGGTGGCACCAATGCACTGGCAATATTGCCATCACATTCATCGCTGGAAGGTTGATCCTTATCTTGCACTTTGGCTATCATTTCTTCAAGAGTCTCCTCATGACAGGTACAAACATTTTCATCAATCGATTCGTAGTCCTGCAACGTGAAAGTGGCAGAGGGCACGACCTTCACTGAATACTGCCTAAATGTCGGCATCAGCAGGGCTTTCTTCATCAGGTACTGCTTCTTGCACTTGAAAGCCAGCATGATGAAAGCATCTGTGTATTGTTGTTGCCTTCACTTGCTCCCTGGCATGAGCCAAATTGTAGATGGCTGCCAATAAACCTATGCTCTAGCATATTCCCCTCTCTGGACAAAGCAGCATTCGATGGAGCAATTGTCTGCGGTAATGAACTTTATATTCTGAATAGCCCCTTGATCTATCGGCTGGATCACAGCCTGTTGCATTGGCTGGCAAGAACTCCAGAGTGATGGCTTGGAGTCTTTCAACCTGACCGCGGGCTGGTCAATCATCCGCAATGAAGGACAACCTTCATGCCTTACCTTGTAAATCTTGTGTCTTCTTCCCGTAGGCAGTTTTCGAAAATGGCCATGGTCATCCACGCTCTTCCGTTCGCATGGTATGCAACGGGAAGGTGTTCGAACGCCTTTGAAGCAACGTGGGTGCCTTGATTTTCCTATTACCAACAGCTTCAATTGCTCATCTCCTGCCCATGTTAGCACCCACCAGCACAGTGATGCAATCTTTACTGCGTTTTCCTCCACTACAGGCTTCGTCTGTGAAGGTGAGTCTTTGATTGAAGAGCCTTATAAAAAAGATCCCTCTCGTCGACGTTGAAGACATCTTGTGGCTCATCAAAATTTTCTTCAGCCGTCCCTTTTGCCAGTCACTGCAAATGTGCCTGTTGACTGCAGCACTCTCACTTGAGATTGCTTTGAAGACTATGCCATGGCGTGATTTGAAGCGGCTGAGCCATTCGTCGCTTAGGACGAAAGTTCTCAACACCTATTTGCATGGCGATCTCTCGAGCTTTCTGCTCGAGAATCGGTCCGCTTATGGGTACATTGGAACTTCGTGCAATCTTAAACCACAGAAAAAGAACTTTTTCTAGTTGTTCATAAGGCGTCGTCAGCATCCACATCCGTTTAGATGTAAAGGTCCCATTCATTAAAGCGCCTTCAATCTTTTATCTGTTTGCAGATCTGTGACAGCGTTGACTTCGGGATGTTGTATTTTTTGGCCAGTTCTGTCTAGGGCACGCCGCTTCGATCGAGCTCCTGAAGAATTTGCAGCTTTTTTTTCAAGCTAGAGTGCATGGTGCGGCCGCTTCCTTTCCATCGGGCTGAAATAACACCATGATCCACCTCACTTAGCCACACAAATAGGCCTAACACACAACTGACTCGGCGACTCAGCCCCCACAGCAAATTTTTCCTTCCTCCATGTCCCACAGCGACCACAAACGAGAATGGCTACTGGATTGGCTTGTCTCGAAGTGTTGCCATGGTTGTGAGACTACCTTTGGCCTGAGCAAGTCTATGCTGTGTTTAGAGTTTGTGCCGTTTAACCGTAGGTGACCAATAAGCATCGTTTCGATTAACTGACGAATTTTACTATGCAACACATAGAAATCCAGCCATATGCGCCCGTTTAGTTCCGTTAATGAGGCATATTCGTTTAAGCAAGTTTCGTTCATTGGGAGTCTACTGTATTTTTGTTTGCATGGTGTTCCACTTGCCGGTGTGGATGTCTGCCTCAATTTCTGTTAACGTCATGCTGTCGCTGTACACTGATGACAGCGTGAGTGCTCGCATCAACTCCTTGCTCGTTTGGCCTGTCCGATCTTGGTGTCGGAGTCATTGCAATCCTGTGTAACTTGACAAATGATTTGGTCATCGGTCAATTCCACACACAGCTCAAGGTTTTTGTCAGCGTCGGCAAAGTGCTCAAGGGTTATCCCAGCTGGAATCGAAGCACCGGCAACATGCGGTAGTCGATCGAAGGACACGTCTGCGGGTAAAAATTTGTCATGCACGCTGTCCACTCTAGGCGAGATGGCCGTCTTGGTGTTCAGTATGAAGCTAGCATGGCGAAAACAGTTCCGGAGGGCCTGTTGCCTAACCACCCTCCACGAGTCTGCAAGCATGGAGACGGCAGATTATAGGTCACCAGCGTAGCTTTTTTCCGCTGTCGAAGCACAGACTGCACAGCACCATTGGCCTAAGCTACGACTGGCAACAGACGCCGTGTGCTGCATTGAGACATTTTCGATTTTGAGGGTACGGGAGCCAAAATGGCGGCGTCAATAGCAACTTCGAGTATGCGGTTAAGGGTTAAAAGTCCAGAAAATCTGATGGTGAAAGCTATAAACGTCTGGAATTTCGAACTTCTTAACACATTGACTCTATGGAGAATTTGATGGTGTAGCTGACGAGTCTGGGAAATCGGGCATGTCCGGAATTCGGGCGTCCAAGAAATTCAATGCGAACTGTATATTGATGATCAATTCCAAGAATCAGCTAGTGCACATTTGAAATCATTTGAATTTATTCAAAGTTCAGACCTTCAGGCAGATTCCAGCATCTTTTTGACATGTGCCCAAGCATGCTACAGTGCAAGAACGTATTTGTTGAGCCATCCGTAGATTGGCAGGCTGTTGTTGCTTAATGTTTAGGTTGTGACCTCATGCCTCATGCTCTGCAGCTGCAAGCCAGTGACGGATAAAGCAGGTTTTTAAGGGTCACCGGCGGAGAAGTTTCATATCGAAGGAAAATCTATATATATCGAAGGAATATCGAAGGAAATTATATATATATATATATATATATATATATATATATATATATATATATATTTAGCCATCTTTATAACCAAACAGTAAAAATCAGAAAAAAAAACATGCAAATAAACGTTTGTGGATATTGACACAATCGGAAATGTGCGACTCATAGCCACAGCACCCAAGACCTTGCAGCTACAGTTGCTACCAGTGGTGTGCCAAAAAACTTTTAAGGTGACAGATGTGGCATGACGTTCTGGTCAGCACATTTTCTTAAATGGCAGTTAATATACTAATTGAATAATTACTATTCCTGCAGCTTTCTCTAGCTTCCTCTGTAGTGTGTACTATTCATTCTTTGTCTTCTAGCAATTTAAGTTGGATCAACAAATTACTAAGTCAAACAAAAACATTATGGAAGCTCAAATCATCTAAACCTCAATGTATGTTGCTATTTCTTGCAGACTTGTCAACACAATTAGCATATGCATGTTGGCACATAATCTGCCTTTTACATTTTATTGTGGTGGCCTCTGCCGTTTTAGTAGGATTTTGCTGGAGGCCGAGAGAGGTAGTATTGCCACAATGAACGCTTCCTTAATTGAAAGGGATTTCATGGCTTTTCTGCTACAGAAAGGGCACATGCTCCATGGCATCGTGGAAGAGATGAATTGTATACAGAGTGCATCAAAGCTATGGTTTATGGGTTGTATTGGTGCAGGTTGCGATTCTGATCGTCGACATCTTTCTCGTGTTGGTCGGCGCCCTCGAGAGCATCCAGCTGTGGAGGCTGCAAAACATGCAGCAGGCGGCAACTGCGGCGACGAGCAGCTACCAGGACGACTTCTCAGAGACGTACAGCAACCCCGGCTTTGGCCGACAGCCCGTGTACGACGTGCAGCAGCGCGCATACGACACCGAACTTCCCGTGGCTCCGCCTCCCCCGCCAGTGGAGTCGGAGGGCTCGGACTTCAACGGATCGACGGCCGGGCTACCTCCGCCCCCTCCATTGCCACCACCGGGCGACAGTGACAGCGGGTACCCAGAACCCATCAGCGGTAGAAGGAACGGTGATGACTTGACGTATCAGAATCCAACGTTTGAGGACAGTTCGCCCAGTGCTCAGAGGAGGACTGCCAACAGTGAGCCACGCTATGGAAATATTTGAGGTGCCGTGCGTGCCAAGTCGAAAACGTCACTGGGCTTACTAGACAAAACAATATCTGAGTGGAGAAGTGTTATGTTCAGTAGGCTACCTCGAAACCTAAGCCCTCTGACCGCTCCGAGTTCAGAGATGAGAGAGCAGTTTCTTTCTCGCCAACATTACCCTTCTCCACGAGCATGCACTCACCCCTCCTTACCAGTCATTTCTTCATAAAACACAGGAACAATGTCAGCACTAAGCCTTGAGCCAATCTGGATTTTGCACTTTTCAGCTGTTGAGTAGATCTGTATCTAGCACTTTTCAGCTACATGCTGTTATCATTGCTTGTGCAGTTAAAAGTGCACAAAATGAAGTGAAATCAGTTTATTATGCAATATTGTCATGCGACATAAGGCAAAAGGGACCTTTGATTGCGTGACAAAATAGAACAGAAAACAAGCGTAACCGAGATATCCATTCTACAACAAACAATCAAGGTCACATGAACCTGCTGACATCATAATGTCGCAAGAAGATCGGAAATACCCGAAAAGGATAATGTGCTCATTTTTCGCATTTTGAGAGGTTGTCAGCGGCCCTGAAGTTGAACGTGGTGCAGTCCTTTGTTTCACTTGTCAAAGATGGGGTGAGAATCAACCAGAAGCAAATTTTGGACAGTGTAGGTTTCTGCCATTCCCACATATTTGCATTTTTATGTTTGCACATTACAAACAAACAAGGGCAATGCACAGATCATGTAGTGGGAATTGCATCTTCGAAATATGATGCAGAAAGACAGCATGAAAATGTGATTTCAAACAAAAAGCTGTGCTTTTACATGTCATTGAGAGTAACGGTCATGTACAAAAATGCAGACATTCAACTTCTTCACAAGAAACACAGCCTGACATATCACGAGCCATGGCTTTTGCTCCTTGATGCCTCATGCTGTGCCAGCATCTTTTGAAGTTCTGAGTAGTGATTATAAACTGCATCATCATCATCATCTTCTTCATCAGCCTGACTACGTCCACTGCAGGACAAAGGTCTCTCCTATGTTCCGCCAGTTAACCCGGTCCTGTGCTTGCTGCTGCCAATTTATACCCACAAACTTCTTAATCTCATCTGCCCACCTAACCTTCTGTCTCCCCCTAACCCGCTTGCCATAAACTGCATACCTGACTAAGTCTTCTCCCTCATACTGCTTGCAGCCACAAAACTTAGCCCGGTGGCAAGTCTTGATGCGCGGCTTTTTGAGCTCATCATCCAAATAAATTGTAATACAAATGTTCCTAAATTCCAGTACTCCTTCAAGAGCTCTTTGTTGCCTATGAATCAGCACTTCGTTAAAAGGACCCTGCTTTACAGGGGATGATTAATATTTGGGGTTTAACGTCCTAAACCACCATATGATTATGAGAAAGGCCGTAGTAGAACACTTCGAAAATTTTGACCACCTGGGGTTCTTTAACGTGCACCCAAAATCTGAGGACATGGGCCTACAGAATTTTCGCCTCCACCGGAAACGCAGCCACCGCAGCCGGGGTGCGATCCCGCGACCTGCGGGTCAGCAGCCGAGTACCTTAGCCACTAAACCACCGCGGCGGGGCTGCTTTACAGAGGTGCTACGGTCACATTTAACTGCAAAACTTCTTGCAAGGCTGTCCATGTGATGCAATTATTAAAAATGTTGCGTTCAAAGTTCTGTAAATAAAAATGTATCTATATAGACACACGGAGAAGGGTCGTGAGAGGAAAATCAAGCTGCTGAGTTGTAATAACCATTATGTAAGTGTGGGAAGCGGAGTCGGTGAAGGACGGATCCCAACATAAAACGTAACATTGTTTATTAATGTTCTTTCAACTACATTATTCCCCACTTGTAAAACTTCTAAACGTGTCTCCCGCCTTTTTTTTTTTAGAAGCGGCACGTCGCCGGTTGCAGAAGTTGGAATATTTCACCACCATGACGGCTAAGAATCTCGCGTGTTAAGCGATGGCGGCGACATTTCCCGAACCACCAAAAGTGATTTCTGCATATTTTATCACCCGAGAACAAAGTCTCCGGAAACTAAGTAAACAATGCTCAAGCGTAGATGATGCCGACCAGTCATGCAGCTGTCCGCGAGCCATGGAGGACATGCCGCGAGCAGACGAAAAGTGTACTGGTTGCCACCGACCCCAAGCTATTCCGCTGAAGTACCGGCTCTCCCCCGCCAGAATCCCGATGTGAGAAACAGATTGGGTTCATCCGTCCGCGAGCCGCGCGGACGAGTCGCGGACGACGGGAATCGCTGATGTGAGGTCACGTGACGCGCCGTCCATCCCGCCACATCGGGATTCGATCCGTCGTCTGAATGCACCATAATGTGGTAGCAACATCAGGGCAAGTGTGCCAATGGTGCGCTCGAAGGGTTAGAAAAACAATCATTTAGTGAGCCTAGCAGCTGAGGCCTTATAGCCACCTGTGGCGACATCACCCTCCAGTGAAAGAGCAGTGGCGCTGTCTGTTATTGGACAGCGCATGTTGCAGCAAGTGACCATTTCAGCTATGATTACGGCAAATGTCTGATGGCACATTTGTGATTTTTTTATAATAAAGACCAAGGTTACAGCTGTTTTGTACTGAATTGATTCATAGTGAAAGACCTTGATTCATAGTGAAAAAATGACAAAATATTGTGACCGTAGTCGTATGCACTGCCAGCTAGTGTGCTGGCCCATGATTTTTAAGAACGTGTTATTTATTATCGATTGTTCGATGCTATCTTGGCTTATGAAAACGCTGTCCGTTGAAAGTATAGTCGCATTTTCATAAGCTGGCAAGTCTTAGGCATATCTACGATTTATCACAAACCATAAAATCTACAGTTTATCCTGTTTACGCTATACATTATTTTTTAGTAGAATTGTCGTGCATTTTTATATATTAGGGACGGCCTTATACGAATGCAACTACACTCAAACCTCAAAATAACGAACCCGGTTATAATAAAATATTGTTTACAACGTAGTAAATAAAATATAGCTTCGCAATATATATAGTGTTAGTTATATCCGATAATTCTATTTAAAGGTATATTCCAAACATTTTCGTGTAAGATGCGACTTCGTTGCAATTAGATTTGAGTGCAAGTATTGGCTAATTTTTATGTTTGTGGCACAGTTTTCGCGACATTAACTTGTAATAATCCAAGTGTAAAATTAGTGCAAGTTTGATGTGTTTTCTTCATGAATACAAAAAGGGTGCTGCGCAAGGCCACATAATCATTCATTTATGCCATGGCAAAGTGTTACTTATTAATAGTTATCTTTTAGTGATGTCCATGAAAGTTGCTGCTGATTGCCACCATTTGGCTGGTCTGACAAACTGAATGATGATGTGTTTTATTTTCTTTACATTACTTTACATACTATTTTCTTACATACATACTATTACATACTATTTTCTTTACATACTAGACCACAATGCTACTGCGAAAGTGACCCAGCTGCAATGTGTTCTAGTGCTTTCTATTTGAAGGTTCAAGTAGTCGCTGCACTGTAACATGATTTCATGTCAGCATGTTCATTGTAATGAAGTTCACAGCAAGCGCAACTCCGGCATGGTTATGGAAATGCAGATACTTCATGTGAAGTGCATGCTGAAATGCCTTAATGAGAAGCTTAAGCAAGCGCGAAATGATTTCTCGTTGCTTTGAATTATGACTGCAGTGCTAGCACCTTTCGGATGTTTTGAGGAACAATTCAGAACTACATGTCTGACTGGTAGGTCTCCACGTCTCGTGCTGTTTGTCGCCACTACTAGATGTGACCCGTTGGGAGGTCGTGATGCACTGGCAACTGAATGGTCAATGTGTTGACAAATCGAATTGCTTTCTGTGCCGATGGAGTGATGGCCATTCAAAGTGGCCTCCACGCATTTCTTGTGTGCGTCTTCTGCCTCTTACACATGATAAAGCAAAAGCACAGGTCTTATTCCTGATGGTAATGAGGGCGCTGCTTTCTTACATATGTAATATTGTTTCAGATGCTACACGCATGTTTATGAAACACACGTAGCATGATCTGGCAATTAGCGAAGAAGTATGGATATGTTCTCATGTTGCCAAAGCTGCAAACCTTCTTTTAGTAGCACTCCTAGTGCTTCATATTCTACATACAATTTTGTTATTGTATATAGAGAAATGTTTATTTGTATGTGCCAGAACCCATTGTGCCTAGTCTTATTGCCATTCAAAGTTGTGAGAGGTTTTTTTTTTTTGTGAGAGCTTCCTCACAACAGCTATTTATTTCTGTAAAATGCACATGCAGTCGACTCTCCTTAATTCAAACTCGAAGGGGCGTCTGAAGTTTGTTTGAACGATCAAGGAGTTTCAATCATCAGAAGTTCTCAGATAGATGACTCTGGTTGAGTTGACACCACACAGTATGATTAGGCATTGAATTTATCTCATTTAAAATTTTTTCAAGTACCGTATTTACTCGCGTAATGAACGCACTTTTTTCTAAAAAAATCAGAGCGAAGTTGGGGGGTGCATTTATTATGCGGGGTAAATTTTGTGAAAACTTTTTCGGGAGAAAGAAAAAATGCGGTAATGCAAAAAAAAAAAAAGCTAGGTCGCTTAGTCTTTGCAATTTACATATGTGTACACTGTTTGGAAACATTTTCTTTGTTGCACTTTACTCATCTTCCGCCGGTTGATGGCGCTATCTTCTGCTGTGATCTCGAGGGGTGCGCGCAGTCATAGGGGAACAGGGAATAAAGGGACAATTGGAGTGAAGGAAAAAGTAGGCTAAAAAAGAAAGACGAGGGGGGGGGTCGCAGGAAGCGACCGACGTTGGTTGGCGCGGGCAGTTTGGTGACCTTCGCTCGCTTTGTGCTTTTCAGCTGAGATGTCTCTACACTTGCACGGCTCGTATTAAACACATCCCCTGCATTATCCGCTGCAGTCCCGCTTACCCACACCTGGCACCTCCTCACTTGTTGGCTTTCTTCCGTTTCTTATTACTTTGCCAACCCCCTCAACAACCTCGGCTTTGAAAGGTCTGATCAGCAGTAAATGGCCAATAAAGAAATCATAAATTGCCAACTGCTTCTTTGCTATGTGCCATCAGCACAAAGCTCTGTACACTAGTTGAAGCATCACAGTCTACTATACGTGTGCTTTGTTTCAAACATTTATATACTAGCAAAGCTTTTTTTCTCGAAAGCCTGGCGAGCTTACTTTTCGTTTTTAGACTGTTAGTACTATATAAGCATACAAATTTTTAAATAGTATTAGTGGGAAAGCAGCAGATATTTTCTGGCATGGAACTGCAAAAAGTATGAATTAACCAAATGATGGAGTTTGAATTAACAGGCTTTTAAATACATTGAAAGAATACAGGGCCAACCAAAAAATTTGATTTTGTTTCAATTAACCAAAAGTATAAATTATCAAAGTTTAAATTATCGGGAGTCTACTGTATGTCTTTCCCAAGTGCGTTTTCTTACCCTCATGCTGGGATTGGTATGAGAGGAGCAACTGACTTGTAGCGACTCTGCAAACGAGTTTTTTTTTTGCATTACCACTGTGGGTTATTGCTGGAGGAGTTGAATCTTGTGTGTCTGTATGCAGTGAAGATCTATGAGTGTTATTGCATTGAAGCCAAAAAATGATCTATTTTTGCATTGTTAGCATTGTTTAAATGTGATTGATAACTGTGACTGAGATACAGCAGTTCCAATTCTGAATTTAATGCATGTGTTTGGGGAAATGCTCAGTTTGTTTACATTGGTAAATTGTTGAAGGCGTATGCTCATTTATTCGGTGAAAGAGCTTCAAATTGTGGCATAAAAATATTGGCAGAGTTTTACTGGGTAAATTTTCACCAAAGTGTGATCGCTAACATGTAAACGTAATTTCAATCAATTGTGAATCATTGTTTTTCACTTAGTCCATCGAGGAAGAAGGACATCTTTAATACTTTCCTCGTCAAGTCAATGGATTTCGTAAAGTGCAGCAAAGTCCCTGTTTACTAACAACAAAGCCAGAAAAAGGGGTGTCAATATCAATGACGCCAGAGCGACATCACGGATCTAAGTGATTCGCACAACAAATTACAGTGAGCTGGCACTGGGGGATCTGCCACACCTTTTACCTTATTTATTTGTACATTATTTCAATTTCATGCTTTGTAAGTATTTTCATGGTGAGGGTGGCTATCTTAGTTGTGTGCAGGTTTACAAAGTATCTCCCATTGAAGTTTAAGAAATCATAAAAATATTGGTCTGTTACACTCTTGAGTTACAATAAAGACATGCCAAATAAAACTATCAATGTAGCCTCATACTCTTCGAAGTTTGCGTCACAGCATTCTAATTTGAAGACATGACTTACTTT